ACTAGAATGCATCTAAATGCCAGAGTTGAGATATAAATTGCTCCCACTACAATTTCTAATTTAGAAGATCCATTTTCTCAGATGGTAGTGAATGACCATGATAATCTGCATGCAATGTACAAAGCATGCAGATTATCATAAATCAGGACATCACAGTTCCACTCTTAATTGTTTCTTCAAGAAAAGCTTTTCTAGGTTATGAGAAGTGCACTTTTAAATTAAGTCAATTACACTGTAACTGCTAGTTAATCTTTGAGGCTGGAATAGTATACTTAAAATTTTGTCTCCTTGTTAAGTAGGCACCATGACAGTGTTTGTGTAGTGTATTGTTAACCTCCAGTGGAAGGTTAAGCGACTTCTTCTGTATCTAAATCTGTTGCTGTGAAAAAATGACTGCAGCGTTGCACCCACCCACCCATGAATAGGGGAAGTGAAGACCTGCACCTGTGGGATTAGGTGAAGCAGCAGGAAGTAAGAGCGTTTGCAGCATATAATTAACGAGGAATTTTTTTTTCTCTCTTTCTTTAAACAGCGTGTTCATCTTGCTAGGTTAACTAGTGATTAACGCTTGAAAAAAATTTGCTGGAGTCTGCACCCTTTCTTAAACTCATTCACTCAGTGATGTATTCGGTTACTTGTACCAGCCCATGTCAGAGGCACTCGCCTTAAAATACTTCATCCCACTTCCATAGTGCTTGATTCCTTTCTTGCTCACGGGGAAATTTTTTAGATTTCTGTGTCTCTTTACTATGACTTTGCTAGCCAAGTTCTGTTATTTTCTGAATCAGATCAAAAGAACTCTGTTTTGAGTTAGAGATCACTTAACGATCACTACCTTAACAAGAAATTAGTGCTTAGTGAACTGAGGCTCTCAGAGGTTAAAATAGGAGTATGAAAAAAGTCATTTACTCCTTCTAATGGTATTTAATGCATAGAGTGCTTGCGACGTGGTTCTTAATTGTTATTTTCTCATATTCATTAAGAAAAGTATAATTTAATTTTCAGTTTAAAAAATTTCTAAATATAGCTCTCTAGGGTACAGTATTCTTTAAAAATTATTCAAATACACAGTTGTTGAAGTTTTAGCAGGCCACTCCTTTGCTAGCTGGTAAGCAACCACTTACTTGTATTAGAATGCTACAGTCTGTCTCTGCAATGTTGTCACACACATTCTTTTCATGACATACTCAATAAGTTAACGTTTGCTTAGTTGTTTTGTTAAACTAAACTTCATTTTCTAATAAAACAATGTTTAATAATGGAATTAGATGCAGTGACTTTCAAAGTGTGTAAATTTTACTGCCATAATGAAAGTCTTAGCACAAAGGAGCACTGAACCAGTGATAATGTGTTCTATCCAAACACATTTGTACTGTATGTAGAAACTGTTTAAAAAGAAAATCACATCTTTTTCAGCAATTTATCAGAGATAATTACCCTTCATACACCAAATGAAGGATAAAGTGTTTTAAAGAACTATAATTCTAATTGGTAAATGTCACCAGCTGTTGCAGTTACTCTTACTTGTGTATATTCTTTTAATGATTATACTCTCATGCCACAAGCTACATGAAAATATATTCACTAGGTGTGAAATTCCCATATGTCACAGTTTCAAGAATAGGTAAATAGCTCAAAGATAAAGGAAGAAATAATGCCAATGGGGTATGTCAGAATCTTAGGTTTGTTTTCCAGGTAAGTGGCTCTTACTTTGCCAAAAAGGGAGAAAATGCAATTGCAGAAAGAAAAAGAAACACTTAATTTGTTAAACTTTTAAATGTGCTTTACCTCTTAACTTCAACCAGAGACTCTCTTGTTTCCTTTGAAAGTTGTAGCACTATCTCAGTTTACAGATTTCAATATTATATCCCTTGTGTCTACCAATAAGAAACAGCAGTTAGCTTTCTTTAAGGCTTAAACTGTAAAGTATTTGTTAGTTATAGATGGTGGAAGATAAACTCTTCCTGGACAATGTTTCATTATATCTAATGTTATCTTGTAAGTGATCAAGGAAACAGAAATTACGCAAGTATCTATGGCAAATGTTGAAAGTCATTATTATCCAACCTTTCTGGCTATAACATAGTTTCCACTGAGTCTGGTGGGTCAAGTAATTGACTGGATTAAACTTCTAAGCATAGTTTTCCTGTGAAAGGCAGAAACAAAAATAGGGCTAGGATGGGGAGAAATGATGAAGAAAACAAACCTCTTATTTGTCTATTCTTCAGCTCCCAGTTGAACTGGGCTGTGTCCAACTGCCTTGGCATTATGTACATCACAGCATTCTGTTTTCAGGCACCTGACTGAAACTCAGACACTAAGCTAACATACTATTTTGTATAGAAAATAATTCTCATGCCATTTTCATTCTGTGGCAGTATGTTTTCTGAATGTTCTCATTTTCAGTGTTTTGACAAAGTTTGAGAAGCATAGAAAAAAATACATATCTTATGGGTTAGTTGCCCATTTTTGAAAATAAAGCTTTTATTTTATTTTATTTTATTTTATTTTATTTTATTTTATTTTATTTTATTTTATTTTTTGAGTAGGAGTCTCACTCTATTGCCCTGGCTGGAGTGCAGTGGCATGTTTATGGCCACTTCAGCTTCGACCTGCTGGGCTCAGGTAATCCTTCCACCTTAGCCTTCCAAGTAGCTGGGACTACAAGTGTGCGTCACCATGCACTATAGAGACAAGGTCTTGCCAAGTTACCCAGGCTGGTCTCAAACCCCTGAACTCGCAATCCTCTCACCTCCACCCCTAAAGTGCTATGATTACAAGTGTGAACCACTGCACCCAGCCTTGCCCTTAAGTATTAACAGTAGTAATCTTTGTACAAATGTTATCCTGCCTCTTCCTGGAAATCATAATGTATAATCTCCCATTCCCCCTGCCCCCCAAAATCTAGGTTTGTATTGATTATTCTTGGAATTGTTTAAACTTTCAAATGTTGCTTATGAGAGTTATGTAGAAAAATAGTGAAGGAATGAATTTGATAAGTTGTCTTCATTAAGTTTGAAATATTTTACCTACATTGTATATGAATGCTCTTGAAAGGGAGACCCGTGAAGGCATTTATATGAATAGTTATTTCAAATTATAGTTAATATTATGATGTCAGGGTTTTGTTGTAAGGATCCTTGGCTTTATTTAGTGTATAATCTCCTTTAGGCTAAGTATAAAAGTATTGAAAAATTGCAATGATTTTTACTATACAGAAATAACTTTATCACAAAAAAGTCAAATTAATTTTTATAAATGGAATGAGTAAGATATGCTCATTGACTATATAATATGTTGGATAATAGGTAGTTGTATTATGGCATATAAAATATACACCCCCACAAAAGAAAAAGTGTCGAAAATATTCTACTTTTAATTTAAGGAGAATATACTGCCACTGTCCTAGCATCACTCAAATATATACATTGAGTTGCTTTTCACAGTGGTAATAGTTAAGTAATCCATTATTCATATCCTCTTTCATGTATTTTTCTTTTTCTTTTCTTTTTTTTTTTTGAGTTGGAGTCTTACTCCGTTGCCCGGGTTGGAGTGCAGTGGCATGCTCACAGCCACCCCAGTGTTGACCTGCTGGGCTCTGGCGATCCTTCCACCTCAGCCTTCTAAGTAGCCGGAACTACAGGTGCGAGCTACCACACCCGGCTATTTTGTTGTTGTTGTTGTTTTGATTAATTGTAGAGACGAGGTCTCACCAAGTTGCCCAGGTGGGTCTCAAACCCACAGGCTCAGGCAGTCCGCTCGCCTCGGCCTCCCAAAGTGTTGTGATTACAGGCTGAGCCACCAAGCCTGGTCTAATTTTTTTTTTAATTTATTGTAGAGATGAGGTCTCGCCAAGTTCCCTGGGCTGGTCTCAAACCCAGGGGCTCAGGCAATCCACTCACCTTGACCTCCCAAAGTGCTAGGATTACAGACTGAGCCATCAAACCTGGCCTTTTCATGTAATTTTCTTATAGCATTTACTTTTGCAAATGAGTCTCTTGATAGTGGATATTAATGCATTCTGTGGACATGAAATAATGCAAGACTAATGAAAGTTCTACCATTTTGTTCGTTTTAAGGTCACATGCTAACCAAATAACTTACTCAATACAAATTATGAACCAACCCTAGGTGCTGACAACACAAATAACTATTTCCCGTAACTATTCCAGCTGTAGGAAACTCAAGAAAGAGCAAAAGATAAGTGAAGAAGGAAAACTCTAGCAGCCATGCAGGCTTTTATCACTTCCCAGAACTGATTTTGTAAGGCCATAGCAAGGAGAAGTTATATCAGCTGCTCTGCCTTCTCTACCAATCAAGACATCAAATGTTAGATAACTTTGGAAAGTTATCTGTATCTTTGGTTCTACATAGGAAGCTAGTTCATTGACATTCTTCTCACATATCTAAAATGAAGTGAATAGTATTGGTAAATATTGGATGGAAGCAATGGATAACCCACATAATGTTTTATGTTTTACTTTGTAAAATATTAAATCCTTTTTTGCTGACATCTTCCCAATAGTACTTGACTCAGCTTCATAGGAAAATTTAGGTTGTATTCCTTGAACACTTGTAGTAGTTGAGGGTGGCAACTCAAGGAACATTAACATTTTTAAATATTACTGACAAGAAATTATGAAAAGTAAAGTGTATTTGCAATTAGAAATTGATAATTGCATGTGGAAAAACTTTGGAAATTTTGTTCATTTATCCTGAAGTATTCACCTTAAAAGCCTTTTTAAAAAGATATTTGTAGGCTTACAACACCATAATTTTAATTATTTTAAAAATGATGAATAACGGAGACCTCAAGTTGTGAGCACCAGTAATAAACAGTTTTATTTAGTGTAATGGTAGAATTTTTTGAAGGTGCTCGTTGTTAATGTGGTCTTAGGCATATTTTACTAGTGTAATTATTTTTCAGGGTGTGATTAAATAATAATTTTACAATCCAGACCTGATTTTGTTTCATTCCCCCTGCTTTTTCCTCACAACAGAAACCAGGAATGGATCTGGCAGACACCTATATTATGTTTGTTCGACAAAACCAAGACATTCTTCGAGAAAAGGTCAATGAGGAAATGTATATAGAAAAGTTGTTTGATGTAAGTAGCTTCCCTTGCAAGGTACGCTGGCATTATAGATCTACCACAGAGGGAAAAGTTGCATTCTGATGGTATGATTAAACAGCAACCTCTCCTTTTCTGATTCTTTTTCTTTTCGATAGCTAACATAGTTGGTACTTTCTATACTTTTACTGCTGAGGGAAGCCTTAATTAGCTTCCTTTTCTACATGAAAACGGTCACCATTAGAATGAACGTCTCAAAAACCTTTTCAGGTTAGTTTTAACAAGACAGATGATCATCATTTTACTACTGTGTTCAGCATCACCTCACTTGCCTTTTGCAGCATTCCATGAACAGAAGCATATTGTAATAGGTGTGGTCTCTATTGTAAAAGGTTGTTTTTAAGTCAGTATAATATTCTTCAGCTAAACAAAGAAGTAAGCTTCAGTGAAACCAAATATCTGCCACTTACTGTTACTGAACATTTTTATCTTGATGTAAAGTACTGATGTGCACTAAAAGATATTACTGTTTTATGAGTACTAAGGTCTTCTTTTAGGCAAGACAATGCCTACAAATGGGGGATTATGGTTTTAGATATCATGATCATCAAATTTCATTTATGGAGTATATCTGAAAGAGAGACTAAGAGAGCAGTCTATTTAAATAACAATGTTGTCATTCATTTGTAGCTGCTTAACAGTCAGTTCAAAGGAAAAGATACCTTGCTTGTGACATAACTTTGCATAATTCACCACAATGCGGATTTTGAAGTGCAATATTTGCTTTGAAGCGTATTTATTTATGTACAACCTCTCTACATTTTAGAAATGCTTTTCTGGCAGTTTCATTTAATTATGCAAGTCACTGCAAATGTTTTCATAACAGCAATTCACGGGCTTCATGGTGACACTTCAGCTGTGGCAGTTACAGAAGGTCCCTCTACGTCATCCTCTCCACCAGGGTCTGTTATGTCCGTGTTCACTGTTTGTCAGACTGGTGGTCAAAATGAATCCTATCTTTCATATTTTACATTTCTAGCCTCTACCCAGGCCGTTTTACAATAAAAGTATCATCTGTTTTAATAAGCTAAGTGTTAATATGTGTGAAAAAAATGATTTCCTAAAAGCTTTGATGCCCTGCAGGGGTAGGAAAATTATCATCCATCCAGCTGGCTCTTTTACAAAATACTGAAACCATATTAGCAACTTCTACTTCCATTTGGTATTGCTCTGAATTTACAAGCATATGTTTAATTTCCAAGTTCTCATTTACTTTTTGTTTGCTTAGGTGGTGATTTGCAAAAATGTTGAACAGAAAAAGAAAGTAGAGTTGATGTTATTTCCATTATGTTTCTTGTTCAAATAGCTAAAGCAAATATTCTATGGTTTGAGGGAGAAAGAGAGTCATTCTGGAAACAGACCATTGTAGATAGATTTTTTGCAGGAGTGTGTGTGTGTACTTTCTCAATATCTTCAATTTCTTTGTCTTGGTGACCTATTTACTACAAACTATTCTTGCCATCAGTTTATAACACAAATGGAATATTTTTCTCCTCAAAAGTATTCCTCATTTTCAGTCTGGGCATGGTGGCTCACACCTGTAATCCCAGTATTAGTATTTTGGGAGGCAAAGTCAAGAGGATTGCCTGACTCCAGTGGTTCGAGACCAGCCTGAACAACTTGGTGAGGCCTCATCTTTACAATAAATAAATAAAATAACTGACGGCACGCACCTGTAGTTCCAGCTACTTGGAAGGGTGGAGTGGAAGGATCACCTGAGCCCAGCAGGTCTAGACTGCAGTAACCGTGTGCGTGCCACTGCACTCCAGCCTGGGCGACAGAGTGAGACTCCTGCTCAAAAAAAAAAAAAAATGCACACACATACTGGGGTACCAAAAAATGTATACACCTTTTGACAGATATTATCTATGTATTACTTCTTGAAGTATTTTTCAGAAGTGTCGATGCTAATGGTTAACCACTTTGAGCACCTCTTGTAATTACAGAAGTCAAATATGACTTGTATTCATCTTTTGTTATCGGTGTACATTGAGTATTATAATTTTAATACAGTTTTGTTCCTTTCTTAAAAATGTGTATACATTTTTTGACACCGCGTGTGTGTGTGTGTGTGTGTGTGTGTGTGTGTATGTGTGTGTGTATTCCTTATTTCCAATGCCTCCTCATTCACTGAACTTCTTTGGAAGATTTTCTGTGTGGCAGAAATAATAAACAGAGCGAATTAAAATGGATCCCAGAAGGCCAACATTAAAATGATGCACTAGTTTAATTGTCCTGGTTCCATATACTTTCATTCAATACCTAAGCAGCTGACATGGCTGTGGGTTTGCTTCTAAGAGGAACCCTCTATACACAACCATTCTGGTCTTGAAGGTTTTGTCATATTGCATATCCCTAGTAGAACATTGGACTTGTTATTTGTCAGATAGTTGTAATGTCCTTAAACATTCTAATATTTTTAAATTGCATATTTGTATTACTTTAATTAAAAATAAAAATACGCCTTAATTCTATTGATATGTCATCAAGAATAACATGTATGAGGGGGTACTAAGAGCCCCTAATTAGCCAAGGCTGAATTTGCCTCAATTACAGTTAGAAAATGAGAGGTTATCAAGTATGTGTTGAAAGGTAAAGTAGACTGTGTGTCTTAAGCAACAGATCATTACTGAGAGACGTTCTATAATTATTGGAAATCCGCTTGGCTGGAGCTTAAAATAATATTGTTAGGTGTCAAGAAACAGTTGAAAATAATGACCCTATAAATACTGTTAGCAACCTTAGCCCTTTACAGATAAAAGATTGAAGAGAATAATTTTATTCAGGCATCATGACAAACTTTTGCTATTCCAATTAGAATACTTCCTATGTAAGTAAGTAAATAGACCTTGCTAACTTCAGATGCAGGTGAAATACACACACACACACACACACACACACACACACACACACACACACACTACAGTGAGCTAATACCTAGTGATTTTAACCAACCCAGATAAGAAAATGAGGGCTACAGTTTCTAGTCATGCAATATGACCAGAGTTAAGAGGACTTAACTCTTTACACAATTTATTTCACTTTGGAAATTCTACATATAACAATATTTTTATTTAAAACAATTAGTCTGTAAAACAGACATTCATTCTGCCCCAATACATTAAAAAGTATGTTTTCCCAAATAATCTTCTTTCTATATGCTGCCCTACCCATGGGGAAGTCTATTGAAAAAGTTGTGGAACTTTCCCTGAGAGTAATAACTACTTGTAGTTTCCTGGCCTCTAAAACTTTTTGATTAGCTAAACATCTTAATTGCCCCTGATTTTACTGGTAAAATACCCCAGGGCTCAGTTTAAATAAAGTGCCACTAAGACCATTGCCATAGATTTTTGGCCATTGTTTTGAGACACCCAGAAATGAGAATGGTACCTCTGAGAGTTTTCAGTGTGTACCCTACAATTCCATTTTCCATGATGAAATGTGTTTCCTGAGAAACTTGCCCTGCTATGATTCTCATTCCAGTCTCCACGGACAATTTATCTTGTGTATTAACCTCAAAGTATTAAAGAGGGAAATGATTAAAATCTGTATCACCTTAAAGGCCATAAATTGGATAACCTTTGACTTTTACATCAAATCTGGAAATATTAAAATTACCTCTTGAGGGTTAAAAAAGTTAATATTAGGACAAATATGATGGCATTCTATTCATCTCACAAACAGTTAAACATATGAAACGCTTTTTGCTTAAAACAAATAACTTCAAAAAAGTATAAATAAAAGATGGCCATGCATTTAACAAAGAGAACTAAGTTAATTTGACATATAATCCTAATCTTTTCAAACTACCAAAATAAGAGTAATCACAGCCATCACCACTACTATTTTCTGGGCACCTCCACGTTCCAAAAAATGTGTGAGGTGCTTTACCTATAGAACTTCCAACTTTCTGGGTTAGCTGTCATCATCCTCATTTTATCTTATTTTTAACTGTAAAAAAATTCTCATTCAGAGAAGATAAGTTACTTGTGAAGAGTCAAACTTTGAAACTATGTTTCTCTAGCTTTAAAGTTCATGCTCTCCCTTCCTTACCTCAGAATTTAAAATTTGAAATGATCAAATAGAGTTATGGAAAGAGCGATGTACTAGGAATCCAGAAACCTGAGTTTCAATCACAATTGTGCCATTAATTTTCTGGGTGAGTTTGAAATAGTGATGTTATCTATTTAAGACACAGTTTAGTCAGTAACATAAACTGATGGCATTGGTCTAGAACAACAGGGATTTCTGAAGCTCTTCCAGATTTTTAAACCAACGATTCTTGTCATTTTAATTTTAGAAATGATGACAGAAATGACTGGGCCAGTTGCATAATGAGTCTTGCACCCCAGAGTAGCAAGTTCTAAGTTCCTTTTTGATAGCCAGATAAAAGCAAGGTATCTCATCTAAGAAGCAATAACAAGTGTAGTAGATATGTAGAAAAGAGAGTCTATCTAAAAGAATGACTGTATCATATGACATTCCATATATCTACCGCCATGGGTCTGAAACCCAAATTTTAAAAAATAATTGGGACACATATACTCTGTATTCATGCTAAGTGTTTCTGGGTGACCACGGTGTTTTAACCAAAGGCTATCTCCATCTCTCAGTGGTCATTTAGGCACACACTAAGTTTAAAATCTGCATGTTATGTTTACTTTTTCAATTTTAAAAAGTGACTTATTAAGTAAGAGAAATCTAAAGGAAGTTCTTCTGGAGTGGAAGCAATCATGAATATGCCAATAGAAGGATTTTTACCTTGGAGACAATCTGTCTTACCCAAATATCCTTTTGCTAACATATAAAACATCTTGGTCAGCAGCAGCATCGGATTACAAGTGAAAGTATAAAATAAAATATCAATAAGTGCATCTGATATTAAAAAAAAACTTTTGTCAAATCAAAACCATCTTTAACTTGTCAAATTTCAATATAAAAGCATGACAAAGATTTTCTAATTCTTTAATCTTTTT